AGAATCGAAGAAAAAAACAAAAAGATGAGATTATCTGTTATATATCAGGAACATAAATTGTTTATTTCTCAATTGTAAAGGTAGGTTTGTGCCTGAATTACGAAAAGAACCTTTTTTATTTGTTTTTCATTTCTGCAAAGCACAGACCCGATCTGATGGAAAAGATTAAAAAAAGGAAACAATAAAATTAAAAGGCATGTCAATGAATTTTGTTTTCGAAAGGAACAAAATAGCAAAGAAAATTTGATCCTTAATAAAATTTCCGGTTCAGTATACCACAGTATATTTTCTTTCCAATCTGCCCTATTTAAATTAATCATAAAATAATATTGACATGTTAAATGTGTAAAAAATATTATACATACAAGCATGTGTTTTATACGAACACAAAGCGGATAATTAGAAAATAATCTCTACGTGTAATTACGTATAGCTGAAGTGGATAATCTATCCAACGAATTCAAAAATATCGTGGTTAAAGCTAACTGTATCAGAACTAATCGTACAAGCATTACATTTATCTTTTATGAATTTTATCAACTGCTATTGTTTGTTTCGCTTGCAACAAGGACGAAAAAAATCAGCTTCTTCAAAGATTCCGACGATCGACATTACGTGTCGTGGTCAATGGAAGTGTTCTAAATTGAAAAATTGGAAATATGTAAATTTATTACTTATTTTATATTATCTCATATAATAATATTTTTTAAAGGGAGTTGAAGATTAAATCGCTTAATGCCGTTGAAAATAATATTTTCTTTAATATACTAATCTCAAGATTTTTCAAACTTTGTTAGTTGGATGTTTTACGGGTAAAAATAAAAAAGAAACATTACGCAAGCATAAGGTTTGATCGTTTGAATATTTATTAAAAAATGATGACACAAGTATATAATATAAAAAATATAATAACCAATTGATTTTATTACTGTGAGTTTCTTATTTTATATGATAATAAATTCATCGTATTTCATTATCGTAATTTAATAGAATTTCTTTGTTTTTTCATGGAACGATTTAGTACCGAGATAGTACCTATGCAAACACAAATAATTTACAAATAACTCGAAACGAAAGTCGTATAATATAACTTAATTTTACAGTTACAAAAATGTTTGAACTCGTGTCGCACAAGATTAGTGATCATCGATCGAAATTAGACTAGAAGTTTCATTCACAAACGATAAATCCTCCGAACTGTTTCGCGCGATTAATCAGAAAATATTTAATGGCGCTTGCTAGGATCACTCGTGTCCTCTGATCGGTCATGGTCGAACGGGAATATGTGTTGGAAATATAATTCCTGGTTAGAAGCGACAAATATTGATACGATCGTGCAAATACAATTCCATCCTTGTAATTACATTCATCTATCCATATAGTATAATCGCGAATCTCTGTTACGGATGATCGACACGACAGCATACGAGTGTACACAAACGTGCGATCTACCGATTGCTCTCCAGAGTATATATAAATTATATCACTCTGAAGCATTCTTTTCTTCCTGGAACACCGGCGAAAGACATGAAATAATACTATCAGTGATCCAACATGACACCGGTGTTGTAGCAACCAATTAACGGCCGTCTGTGATAAGTATTCACTCCCTGATCGTACTTATCGTACGATTCACGCGTCGTAAATCTACGAAACAGTCGCATTAACGCTCATAGTACACGCGTGCCAAGGCGTCGTGACCGGTTGCAGGGAAGAGGGGTTGCTTGAAAAATGTGGCGAGCCAGCCAAATCTCCGATAGAGCCAGCAGCGATTCGACAAACTCCCACGACACAAATCCAACCGTTTGGTCGTCTCCGGCTTGATGTTCCTTTTTTTTTCTTGCGAGGCTTCCAGCTTCGATCCGGTAGAGGGTTGCTTTTGCGGAGAGCTGATGGAAGACGAGGAACGGCAGCATAGTTTCGGATAAGAATTATATTATCGGCTCGTTGGTGCGCTTCGAATGAGCGCTATTGATTTTAAGTAATCGCTTAAATAGCGTCAGTGGCCTGTGCAACGGGTTGCCATCGAGTGCAAACGACAGAGACAAGCGAAACCCGTGCCAGAACTTGCAATAGACGCCGTGTTCTTGCCTCCGTGGTTTCATTTTCCATTTAATTCGCCTAGTTCGACTTTCTTTACAATTTCTTTACAATACTTCTGTCTTAATCGAAGAAGCTATCTGTATATCTGTGAGATTTGCCGGCACTGGACAAATTGATAGAGGTTCCAAATCGAATCTCGCATGGGAACAGGAAACAGGAAGAGACTCGCGGAGATGCACAGGAGGGCGAAGGGTGTATGGTTGAATTCTCGGAACATATTGGACAGACATGGAACGTCTTTACCGGAGGGTTCTTTGAAGGCTCGCGTCCATTAAGGGTGCATTACGCGAGGGCGTACGAGCGAGAAGGCACGTGCACTTGTCGCTTCGGACGATCAATTAACCCTAAAAGGTCCTTTAGGGAAAATTCGCCGGCTATGTACGTATACGTATGTACATATGTATATATGTGTAGTACATAATGGCTGGCGCCGTTCACCGTCATCCTCCGTCGCAATGTCACCTTTACTCTCGTTGTAGGCAGATTTAGCGTCCTCCCTCTGTCTCCAACCCTCGACTTCTTCGAACGAACCTAACTTTCCTCCGCGGAAGGAATACCTCCATTTTCCGTATAATTTCCACGAGAGATGACAGAAAAGGAAGGAGATTCTCTGGACCGGCGAAGAGGCAGTGAGCCGGCCAGGCGGGCCGATGGGGAAACACGCGCAAACTTCTCGAGAATGTAAACGCGAGCAACGAAGAAGCGCGTAAGTGAAAGAGAGAACACGCGAGCGAAAGAATGAAAGTAGAAGGAGAAAAAAAAATGGGGGAAGAATGACTTTTCCAGGGCTCTGTGATCGTAGCCGGAAAACGACGCGAGGAGAGAGAGACCGTCTGTGGCGGTTG